AGCGCACAGGGCATGACGTACTGAGCAGGGTGGAGGCAGCGTCGGCCCCGCCGTTGTAGACCGCAGTGGTGTCCTCAGTGGGGTTGACCACATTCCACAGGATGTGCACATAGTAGACGATGAGGTAGTAGCCCACGGAGCTGAAGACCCACCACAGGGACCAGAGGCGTAGCTGCGGCCGCCGCAGGCTGTGCACCAGCTCCCTCAACATGCGCACAAGCACCAAGTCCCACATGGCCACCCGCAGCGCCGCAACCCGCTTCCCACCAGCACGCAGGCCAGGGAGCGGGTTCATTCGGTCCAGCTCGGAGGGCGAGGCGGCACCGGGCCTGCCCGCACTATTGTTGAAGAAGAGGCTGCGCTTTGGGCACCTGAGGAAGAGGGCCAGAACCAGGCTGAAGGTGAGGAAGGCCAGCGAGATGTAGTTGAGCTTGGTGAAGGAGCACCCAGCCACCGAGAGCAGCAGCTGGCCCAGCACCCCGCTGGTGAAGACGCCCAGCAGCACGGCCGCACGCGAGCAGCTGGCCATGCGCTGGTAGTGGGCGGGCCGCACCAGCACGAAAATGTAGGAGGAGTAGGCGATGCGGGCGGCCATGGTGATGCTGTAGACGAGCTCCATGAACTGCATGTGCAGCACCGTGGAGCCCCATAGGAGCAGCAGCCACACGGAGATGTAGCTCAGGCCCTGCAGCACGAGCACTGGCTTGTAGCGCAGGTAGTCGGTGAGCAGGAAGACGGGCACCAGCGTAGCCAGGTAGGAGTAGGACAGCACTGGTGTGATCTCGTTGGTGACCTGCAGGACAGCAGGCTGTGACCCCCACAGGCCCCATCGGAATCGCCTCGCCGGGGCAGCTGACCCCAAGCTGTGCTCTGCCCCAGCGCCACCCCACAGTGTGCTTTTCACACAGCAGCGTGCCTGGACTCCTGTGGTGAAGCCGTGGGAAGATCCATTCATGACAGGCTCGTCTAGGCTCTGTTTTTAATGACATGAGAACATGATTCGGTTCCTGCCTAAAGCTAACGATGTGGAAAATGGAGCTGTGGCCAGTTTCACTTCGCTGCACCCTGCCTCCCTCTGGGGAGGGGGGAAAGGAGGTATGGAGAGACAGCTGACAGACCAGTTCCCATGGTGTGGGGGAAGCCGGGAGGGAAGGCATGGAAAGGCCGGGCACCCTGCCCTCGCCCCCGGGTCCCCAGTGCAGGGACACCAAACGGAACCCCCCGCCCATCCTCTGCGCCATCCCCCCCAGGGGCACTGGGCCACAGGCCCCCACCACCTGCCTCAGGCAGACCTGGCGGGCTCGTCCAGTGGGAGCCAGAACCCCTGGCCCTTGCTGGGCACTGTGCTCCCCAAGGTTGAAGACCCGCTCAGGGTGACAGCCAGTGTCCCACTGGCTGCCCGGCTTACCTCGGGAGGCAGCCCCGGCCCCGAGAGCCCAGGTCTCTGGCCCACCCACCTCCCAGGGCAGACAGGGGACCCCGCAGTGGTAGCCTCTCCCAAGGCCCTGGTGGGTTTCAGTGGGCAGCCCCTCAGTGGGGTCCCGGATGTGACTCAGACCCACCAGCACAGGCACTGGCCGAGCTCCGGCCTTGATGGGCACTAACCCAGACTCGGGCCTGCCCGCCTGCTAACATGCAGTGCTCCTCACCAGCCGGTCCAGGCACCTCTCAGCCCTGTGATGCACACTGTCACCAGGGCCCCACTTTGCAGGTGGAAATGCAGGGCTGAGTCCAGCCCTGGGTCGGCACACGGAGCCACGTCGAGCTGGCCACTCACCTCTGCCGGGAGGCTGGGTGGGCCCACACATCTCCGCAGGCTTGCCCCGTGCCTGCGGCCCTCACAACTAACCCCCTAGGACTCACAGGGACACTCTCAGTGCTCATCGGTTCCCAGGGGTTGCTGAGTAACCTGCACATGTTCACTGATAGCCATGGGGGCTCATGTTTATGGAAAATTCTGGGAACATCAAAAGCCCTGCTTGATGAGATCTCTTGGCACATGGCTTGCTCAGCTGGAGGGGCTCACCAGTCAGAGCCCGAGTCGAGGGGTCACAGCCTGGGGAAAACCAGCTGGCCCTGCCCTTCCCTGCTTCCTCCTCAGCATCCCTGCCCTGCTCTCCTAGGGCTTGGCAGACCAGCAGGCGCCAGAGGAGACTGACCCACCACATGTGGAAGGTGCAGGGGGAGTGGGTGCCCACAAAGCCTGAGGCAAGCAGCATCTGTCATGCAGCCCAGCACTGGCACGAGAACAGCTCCACCCAGACCCAGTCCCACCACATCTGTGTGCCCATGGAGCTGGGGCTATGCCCACTTCTAGATTCAGCTGGCTTCACTGAAGGGGCAGGCCCAGCCAGGCCCCAAGGCAGCCAGGACATGCTGGGATGGGGCCAGGGCAGTAGGGCTGGCAGGAGGGACCAGAGGGGTGGGGAGCAGGAAAGGGCCAGGCAGGCCACAGGTAACACTAAATCTAAGAGGAGGCATTGAGGGGCCACACCTGGATAGGTGCTTAGCCCAGCCAGACGAGAGGACAAGGACGGCCAGGACCGTCCTGGAGGCTGCCTGGTGATCCCACCAGTGACAGGCAATGGGTGTGGGCAGGGGCTCCTGTGGGGTGGGGGCTGCAGGCCTCATCCAGCAGCTCAGATGCAAAGCAAGCCCCTGCCCCTCCCAAAGGCACTTCACGAACCAGAGCAGGGAGGGCACACAGGGTGCCTTCTCCCCACAAAGCACGTCTGGCTGGACTAAACTGAAACTGCAGCATGAAAGGACACCAGGTGCAAAGTGAGATGGCCAGCCACACCTGGGAAGAACCTGCCATGCCGGCAGGCAGAGCCACAAGCACGGGAATCCACCTGGCTGCAAGAAGCCAGCCCTGAGGACAAGGGAAGCTGGCCAGGCAGGCAGACACCAAGGAGACGTAGATCCTGCAGAAGGCACCTCCACGCCCATCAGATGGGCAGAGACTCAGCAGTGCTGCTCAGGTGTTGTTGGCAAGAGGGATATCAGAGGCAGGCATGCAAAGGGACGTAAAAGAACAGCCCTGGGCCCCCACGGACAGCTGCCCCCAGCCAGCATGGCAGGGGGGCTGCATAGGCTGTCCTAGGTGCCACTCACCACCCTGCCCCGGCTCAAGCCTGCAGGGTGCGGCTCCAGCACCCGGCCGGCCCAGCAGCTAACGCAGAGCCTGAGAGGGCAGCTGAGTGGGGCTCAAGGCCTCTCTGACACAGGGTTCACCTCATCACTTCCAGGGGCTCCTCACACATGCTTATACCCGTGAGTGACACAGTGGCCCAGGATGGCCCCCTTCTAGAACAGGGCAGTTTCTAAGGGAGGAGAACCATACGGCTGACAGGTGAGCAAGGGAAGAGGGGGGCAGTCAGTCACTCAGAGGAGACCTTGGAGGGCCTGGGGATACAGCAGGCAACCCTGAAGGCCCCAGCGCCACCTGGGCAGTGACCAGCCCTGGTCAGTCACACACACAGGGCTCCAAGCCCCTGTGAGCATCACAAGGGCATTTCTGTTTCTCCAAGATGGCTGGTTTGAGGGGACAGCCTGACCTGCATGGTAACTGCATGTAACTTAAACAATTCTAGGGTCTGCAAGGGGTAGGGGCCTCCTGAAGAAGTCATGTGGCATAGCGGGACCCAACAGGATCAGCCACAGTGACATGGGGTACAGGGTCCAGCCTCCATGCTGGAGGGGATGGACGAGGCTAGGCCAGGTAGCCACTGAGCTCAGATGGGAGCCCCAGCCACACGCTTCACAAACCAGCAGACTCTGGGCTCTTTTGTTCTTTTATGGGGAACGAAACCCCAGGGGATACAGCTCACACCCCCCTTCTCAGTGTGCACCAGGGACCAGACTAGGTACAAGCTTACTAGTCAGGTTCCAGCAACACCTCTGTCCTTGTTGCTGAGAAAAAGGAAAATTCCTCCCATAATCTCTTTAGGCAAATGGTGCTGGCCTCTCCTGGAAGCCAGCCCAGCAGGTGGACGTAGGCTCCCTAACCAGGGGAAACAGAGGACAGGGCACTCCCACACTCTTCCTGGGACCCCTGTGGGCTGCAGCCTCCCTACCCGGCCTCAGTGGGAAGGTGCCCCCCAGGTCGGGACAGGACCCTACCACCACGCACCCCATCTGCTCCCACCCAGCCCCTACCCCATTCTACCTGCTTGCGTGTGAAGTTCTTGTCAGGACCCAGGAGGTAGGGTGTGATGAAGCTCTCCCCTGGCCGCATCTGTGCCATGAAGCCATAGAAGCAGAGGTAGATCACCAGACATCTCCTAGACTTGAGCTCCGGGTCCAGCCCTGGCTCTGCGGGCTTCTGCTCCTCCACCGCCTGAGTGGCGGGCACCATGCTGCCCAAGGCCAGAAGGAGACACTGCCCCTGCAAGGATGGGCCAAGAGGGCTGCTCAGCAACAGCCCACAGCACCTCCCCAGCCTCGGCAGGCAGGGCACATCCCTGTCACATAACCCACACCCACAGACAGGGCCCATGGGCCCTGGGTCTGAGAGCACCTGGCACCCGTAACCACCTGGCCAGCTGCCACACTGGGGCTGTGCAGTCCCATCCCATCACCACCAGCCATGTGGGGCTCCTTCAGTGCTGATTAACTAAAGCTGAACAGAGTTTGAAACCCAGCGTCCCGGGCACCCCAGGCTCATTCCAAGTGCTCCCAGCCGGTGGCTGTGGCTGCTGCGTTGGGCCCATGTGCCTCCCTGGGAGAGGTCTCAGGGACAGCCCATTCTGGTGCCTGGGGTCACAGTGCCCAGGCACACCACCCAGCTAGAGCCACTTGGTACCTCCTGGCCCCATGATGTCCAGAGGGTACAGGTGGAAGAGGACCTGGGGGGAAGCCAGGCATGTGCCCACCATGGCACAGGTGGTCAGCAAAGGTGGCTGGGAGCATGAACTGCAGCCCAAATGGCCACCCCATTGGCCACTGTGGGACCCCAAGCCCAAGACAGGCGCAGCAGATGGGGTTCACAGGTAAAGCTGCCAGTAGTGAAGAGGGCAAAGGAAGAGGTGGGCGTCTTCAGGGGGTGCAGCACGGGGATGGGAGGGGCCAAGAGGGGCAGAGGGCGGTCTTGGGACCCCAGCACCGGGGATTCTGCTAAAGAGCAGCAGCTGGGAGTGCAGGTCATCAGGTGGGCCAGGCACACCTGGATAGCACATCCCAGATGACAGCCCCCCCTCCATGAAGGGGACCTCAGGTGGGGCCTGCCCAGCCCATGTCCCCACCTGTAACGTCGATCAGTCAGTGAGAAGCCTGTTCCGTGTAAGGGGCCAGCACCCCCATCTCCACCCACTCGGAGCCTGTCTGACAGAGAGGCAGGGACTCCCATTTCCTCAGCTGCACAGTTACTCTGCCTTCACTTGATCACCACATCCCTATATGCCCAGTGATATTTTCTGTTCAAGACACTTCCATTTGAAGTGAGTCAAAAAGTGAGCAGCCACTAAACCAGGTCAGGGTGAAGAAGGAGCCGGGCTAAGCAGTACAGGGCACCGGAGGGCTTCATTCCCGAGGCCAAGGCTGGGTAGGGCTGCCCGGGGTGTAGGTGCGGCTGGGCTGCAGGCTGTCGGGACAAGTCCCTGCTCCTTACTGCTCAGCCTGTTTGGGGGGTTGGCTGAGTAGGGTCTGGATTTGTGGAAACATCCTCTCCAATGCCCAAGCAGAAGGCACAGAAAGTTCCCAAGACATGGGACCAGCTTTGGGGCCCAGAGACTCTGAGGAAAAGCTGCCCAGATTGCCAGCATGAGGTCCCCTGCATTCCAGCCGGTGTGAGGCTCAGAGACCATCCCAACAGGGGGTGCTCCCACACTCCTCTGGGGACCAGCATGAGGCCCGGGGTGGCCCAGAGACAGCAGGGGGGGGGACCCCCGAGGGTGGAGCATGGCCTCACGTGGGGCCTCTGGTCGTCCTCCCCAGGCCTGGGGCCTCGGCAACGGGAACTGTGGCCGGAGCTCTGCTTCCACCTCGGAGTCCTGTGCTGACCTGACTCAGGGAAAACGAGATCTCTCAGGAAGCCGGGCTGAGGTGCTTGTTTGGGGGCTACAGGGAAGGGCAGGGCAGGGGTGAGGGGCGGCTGCAGAACTCCAGAGTTTCAAAGGGAGAGGACCACGGGGCAACAGTGGCCTTAGGAGTTACTGGGACAGCCCCCCAGCATTCTCCAGGGACCAAGTGGAACTGGCCCTCCCCATTCCCAACCCTGGGAAAGAGCTGTGTGGAGACTGGAATTCAATTTCCTAAGCCCCGTGGAGCTCGACAACAGCTGGAAAGAGCAGGGCCTTCCCACAAGCAGACAGCTATTGGCCACAGGGTGGCCCACAAGCTGAGCCACCCACACTTGGAGTAAGTGCCCCAGACGCCCACCAGTGGGAGCACACCTCTCACACTCACCTCCCCACCCCTGGGCCAGGAGAGCAACTGCAGGCTTCTCCCCCAACCAAGCCCCCCATGTGGGCAAGCAGCCAGGAGCTCAAAGCGCCCTGGCTCCCAGGAGCTGGCCCACCCTGCCCACCCCCTGGGGCCCAGGAACCCCAGTACCTGCCCTCCTGTTCCGAAAGGTGTTATCTCCAGAAGCGACAGGAAGGGCCTCACCTGGCATCCCCCGAATCCCAGGGTAGAAGCCTGAGACACCAGTGCCTGGCATGCTTCCCAGTTCCACATCCTGGATTCCCATGGCTTCCAAAACCAACAGGGGCTGCTTCTGACCCCACAGTGAGAGCCTCTGGGCCTCTCTGTGCAGCTCTCTCAAGGTCTGGGGCACCCACCCGGCATTAGCCCATAAGCCCAGGACTGGACATTAACACACGGCCAGGCCTGCAGGGGCAGGGTTGATGAGGTGCGTGGCCTTGGAATTCCTGTCGGTCTGGAGAACAGCCCCGTGTCCACATCCAGAGGTCCCATGTAGCACCACCCCACCTGAGCTCCAGGGCCACAGCACAGGGTGGACCAGCCTATCTCCCGAGGGGCGGCCAGGCAAGCAGCCACCCCCCAGGAGACAGCCAGGCGGTGGGGAGGGTAGGAACGACGGGAATGCTCTGCTAGCAGCACTCACAGTGCCGCCTCAGGGAGAAACCCACAGGCTCTGGCCCTTTCCAGCCCAGCCCACCCTTGGGGCTGATATCATCAAGCACCTGACCTCACAGGCCACCCCCAGCTCCATCCCTGCAATCTGAGGACATGGCACTGTCCAGGATCCAAACTGCTGGGTGACAAATACCAGAGTCCCTTCCTTCCTCCTGAGCTGCTAACAGCTGGGACCGGATGAGGAAGGGGCCACCCCCAGCCACCGGGGAGCAGCCCAGGCTCCTGAACTCCTCGGGAGGGGAGCGCCAGTCCAGGCACTAAGCACCCACGTGTCCCCACAGCCCACATTGAGCTGGGGTGCTCGAGTCTCACATCTGGGGACCACACTCTTATTTGCTCTGGGCTTGCACCAGCTTTCCACCTGCTGACTCCACAGTTATGGGGCCAGGGGAGCATCCCACAACACTAGTGGGGTCCCTATAGGATGTGTGCCTTCTCACCAGAACACCCCCAGAAAGTGGGACCCACTCTCCAAGGACGTGGACGAAGATACCCACCTGGGCCAGGCTGCCACCTGTCTTAAGCACACATCCACTGCCCCACGACCCGCACAGGGACCCCCAAGCCCAGCCTCACCCCACTCTGTGCCAGGGGAGCAAAGTAAAGAGGCTGAGGAGCACACCAGACCCACAGACGCCCTGCAAAATGGCCACTTCCATTTCTCCTTCAGGCATTTGTCCTGAGTGTTCAAATGGCC